TACAAAATCTTAAAACTATTTTAAGTTAACTAATGACGATTCTTAGCTTCCTAAACAAAGTATATACCTGTTTTTAACGGTTTATTTACTTTTTTGACAAGGGTTGATCAACGTTAATTAACTTTGATTATTTAAACTAAATGTCTTAAACTACATCTTCAAAGGTTATTAAACTCGAATAGTTATTAAAAAATTTTTTTTTAAAATGTAACGATGTTTGAGGGGCAAAAGGCACGTGAGAGCCAATCAAATTCAGAAATCTGTTTATAGATTATTCTAGAACGTGATTTCTTAATTTGGTAAATCCCCTGACTGATATAGTGTTTTGAACTATCAACTGAAAGTTCAACCGGGGCTGATCCAAGTAGATCTCTGGATATTCCCAGCCAATCATTGATGTTTGTTTACATCGAGTAAAATAGGATTGACATATTCTTTTTTACCCAATGTAAACAAACATCAGCGATTGTCTGGGAATACCCGGAAATCTATCCGGATCAGCCCTCGAGGTAGGACTGTCCATGTTATACAGATGATCCTACTGATAAAAAAATTTTTTATATGTGTTACAATACTTTTTTTGAAAGCTCGGGTGCTTTAACTCCTTAGTAAAGGGGATAAAGTGTATTAAGTAAACTTGAAGCTTTCGCTTTGCTCTACAACATATTCGCTGAATCTATCTAAATTCAACTACCTTCATATATTTTTTTTATTACTAAATTATGTCTGAAATTAGAAAATGTGGCAACTGCCTTGCCACTGATTCAAAGAGATTTCATTCATTAAAAAAGAAAAATGGAGAGAGACTGAATGTAGAGGCTTAATAAGAGACAACTGGAAAGAGGGTATTATTTTGTGTAATAAATATTATATAAATTATGTTGAAAATCCTTTAAAAAGAACTGCTAAACGAATGAAAACTTCAGTTCAAGAGGTAGATTCTATTATTAGGGAAGAAACACAAATTCGAGTTAATGAAAATATAAAAGAGATAAATATGGTCGACTTCGTTGGGGCTATCAAGACAATGGCAAGAATCTTCTATAATAGAGAGCATGTAATGAATAAAAGTCCTATATATTCATATGATGAATTGCAAGCAGAATTTCAAACCAATGAGGGGTTAAAAAATTTTCTTGATCAACTTTATTTGGCGGCTAGGTCGCTTGAACATACCAATCAAACCATGAATCATATAAAAAAATTAATAGTGCATATATGTTATCTTCTTGCATCATTAAATAATACAAAAATTAATGCTTTTAAATTTGATTTAGCATATTATTTGGATTCTGCAGGTACAAATAATGAAGGTTTGGATACGATGGCAAATCTTGATGTAACTACAACATCAAGAGCGGTAGATCGAAAGAAAAAAAAAATTGCAGATGCTCATGAGAAATATGTAGAAAATGCCCTTTCAAAATATTTGGATAAAGCTTTTGTGTTGAATATTGATAACTATTACAATATTCATGTACCACGGCAGTCTAATACTACTAGTATATCTCATCCAACACACTGGTGACAATTGTAGCAAATCCATGTCCTATTGCAGCAATACCACGTAATGGAATAATTAATTCAAAATTTTTTGATAGCGAGCTAATAATAAAACATCTCAATGAGCGGTTTATTACAAGCCTTGGTGTTCCTTATCATGAACGTTGTCAAAATTATGTAGGTAAGTGTTTTGACGATGAACTCATTGAAAAACTAACTTTGCATAGCTATAATGACAGGTTAGTGGGAAAAAAAAGCAACCAACATATAGAAAATGCTATTCTTTTTGATTTTGTTGGAGCCAATTTAAAAGGGGTTGAAGATTATACAAATGCTCTTCAAATTGTATATAATCAAGAATCAATACAAGAATATCCTTTCAACTACGTAATCCCTATTGTTGCAGATTGGCCTGATCAGTTCTTTATTTGTACGGCTATTGCGCACCAGCTTTTTCTTAACAATGAAATCATCCCTTTGTTCGTTATATTGTTTTTTGCCTATAATGGGACCTCTTTATATGTTTTTGAATAGTCGGAAACTTGTTTTTAAAAAAAATTCAACCCTATTCAACAATATTTATAAGGGCATATTTGGAAAAAAGAAAAAACTTGGTATAAAGCCACGGCTATAGCGAATTGACTTAATTTTCCATCTTATACATGTGGCATAGCTTGATATATCTAATATAGTTTATTCAAAATTTGGTCATACATGTAAGAACTATGAATTTTTATATCTAACCAATCTTCTGAGTAATTTAATTTCTTTAGTTCTCAACATTTATGTGGTGCACCATTGAGAAGACAACTGGGCAGCTTATAAAGAGGCTTGTTTATGTTGTTGGAGTGATTTATTTCTTTGATTTGATCAGAAAAATTATAAGCGTGCCTCTTTAATGTTTTTCTAATATATTTTATTGGACAGATACTAATCATTCAATAATGAATTTTATCACTAATCATCTTGTATCTTTAAGCGATTGTCCTGTAAAAACCGTTCATAGTATGATTCGACGACATATAACTAAATTTTTCATAGCAGATCAATTGCAAAAAGAAGCACGTTTTATGTTTCAAAATCGAGAGGATAATATTTTTTGTCAACACTTTGTGAATTCTATGAAATATCCTTACAAACCAAAACAATTACATATTTTATCCCACAAGTGCGCTACAGTCCTTTTGGAAATATTTACAAAGATATATAGAGCACACCATCTGTATCCTTTGATTATTAGTTCATCTGATAATGGTATTAATATATATAAGCTGCCTTCTTTAGAATATGAAGTAACTGATCGTCACCTTCCAAGGGGCTTTGTTATCTCCAAAAAACTATATACAAGCATTTTATGTGATTATTTATACTGCGATTGTACTAACTATATTAATTGTTCTGAAAATGGTATCATTCTTGCATGTGGGCATGGTTATCACAACTGTTGCTTACAAAGATGCAATTTTAAATGTTTAATTTGTTTAGACTATCTATGGGAAGAAATTAAAATTAATATTGATGCATTAAAGGTAAGTATGAAAAAAGATTTAAATGAAAAGAAATTTATTGTTGAGAGTAATGATAATACTGTTGAGAATGATTCGGATGATTCTGAAACAGTAATTGGTGATATAGAAGTGGAGAATAATTTATTAGAAAATGCAAAAAGAGACTTTTTAAATATTAAATAAATTCTGAAATTTGGTTTTCAATAATGTAAATTTTTAAAGCAAAATAGTTTGTATTTATTAATTTATTTATTAAAGTAGTAAATTATTATAAAAATTACATGTAAGTTTTTTTATCACAAGTTCGCTGATATTCTATTATAATAACATCCAAAGTATAAATATCAACTGCTTAAGTATATCGTTTTCCTTGTTGAATATCGTTTGATGCTTTATAATTATTCCTAAAAATTTCTTTTCCGTGTATTAATAAGAAAGTAATTTTTTAAATCATCTCTTGATATCCCGTAGCATTTCAAGAATGATGGATGTTTTTATCCGATCCTGTAAAAAAAATGCTTCTAAATTTTAACAAGAAAAAAAAAGATCAAATTCAAATCTTAATAATTACAGTAATACCAATAGAGATACTTATCGGCAAAATAATTATAAAGTAATAATGACTTATCCCTTAAGTAATATTAAATAATTATTATCTATTACGTGTACATATAAAACACATGATAAAAGGTACTAATAATAAAATTATTTAATAATTATGTAATATTAAGTATATAATATGTAACTGACTTTGCCCATCTCGTTAATTAAAATTCACAATTTTGATTGGTTGATCTACATGCATGACTGATGGTCCTGAGTCAAATCACCATTTCCATATTTGGGACGGTCCTACCTGTAGATCAGCCCCGGTTGAACTTTCGGTTGACGGTTCAAAACACTAGTTATTATTATACTGTTATATATAAAATTTTAATTCCTTTTTGCACCCATATATTTATTTATTTATTATTTATGCATTTTAGTAGTGCCGAAATTTAAACCTTTATATTAAATTTTTATTATAAACCTATATTTTATATAAAATTAAATTTTAACTCTAAAAAAAATAAAGGTGGTTAAATCACTCCTGGGTAAAAATAGTTAAAATTTTAAACCAAAAAAATGCTATTATAGTCAACTCTCTGTAAATACACTCCCTTGGGACTATAGGCAAAATTTTCAAAATTGTGCATTTAGAAAGAGTATATATCTAAAAAAATAACTTTATTCTTTAAATAAACTTGGTTTAAAGCAATGTTTTATATACATATTATATATTTTAAAATTAATATTTGGTTTGATAAAATTACATACACTGTATATTCAAACTTACAAAATTTTAATTAGTTATTTAAAACTTATACACTACTTTTTTAATCTATTTAATCATAAAATTTATATGAAGTTAAAAATAGTCATTAATTTGATTTTATAGTAATTCTATATGGTTTTATTATAATTTTTATAATTTTATATAATAAAAAATTTATTACTAAAATATTACTTTTTGGCCTGAGCAAAAAATAATCGTGCATCACTTCTTTTGCTTGGATTCGTTATGCAGTACATATTACCTAAAAACGAAAAAATAAATAATAAAATATATTATAAAATTGCAGGATGAAATTGATCTACCTCGCGGGACAAAAAATTGAGCTCCTTCTTTGACTGTAAACATTTGCGTATCGAGATGAAACGTTACAGATCCCCTGAAGACAAAAAATACCTGAAAACAAATAATGAAAAATAAATACTTCGCATATGAATGAAACATGCTTATGCATAAAAATATTACCATTGCGCTTTCGTTGGAATTCCTTCCTGATTTTTTGCGTCCTTTGGGTATATCGATCAATCCTGCCGAAAAGAAATCACCTTCCGAAAAGGTTTTTTGGAACTTACATCCATCATTATCGATAGTTTCAGTTTGATACATTGAGAGGGTATATATCAAACCTAAAAATACAATGACAAATTAATATATTCCCGATTATAAAGAGGAAGCTCAAATATAAAACTTACGCCGTGTAACTTTTTCATTAGTTTCCCAGTCAATAGTAAACCCTTCAGCAGACGCCACTTCATCGATGTCATCATCCGTTTCACCTTTCTTAAGAGTAGTATTTTTACCGTTCCGCTTTCGCCTCTTTGTATTTCGTCCAACACCTGATTCATTATCATCTGGCCGGGGAATGCGAATGACTTCTATAAAATGAATTAATGACTCATACTAGTAAAAGAACTCGAATATAATAGAACTATATGTCTAATATACATGGTAATTTATAATATTAACATGCCTGTTTTTGTAGGTCCATACACAATTCTTTCGTTTCTCCAGAATTCCAGGGGTTTGATACGTTGACGTTTACTTCTTCTTACTAAATACTAACCAACTTCAGATTTTATGTCAAATTACATAATATAAAGAGTGAAACAATGTACTATGACACTTTCTTCCTTTGTTATCACTCAAATCCTCTACATTCTTTGCTTTCTTTTTATTTTTTCGATTATTTACTTCTCGATCTTGGCTTGGTTCTCGTTCCTCATCGGTGTTATCCTCTCCAAAGTTGCCAAGATTAAATGCCATCTTGGGGCTTTCTACGGCACGACGCCTATACAGTACAACTCTACTATCATCCCTCTTATTAGAAAGTGTTGTTGTTTCCTGTGGCGACTCTATTTAACTTCTATTAGTAGCGGTAACGTTTATTGGAGATGAAATATTTGTTCGTGCTCACCATCTGTAACAAGGGACATTGATACTTCGTCCACATTTGTAGTTGTTAAACTATTACTATTTGCTACTTCGTCCACGTTTGTAGCTTCGTCTACGTTTGTAACTTCGTCCACATTTGTAGCCTCGTCCACATTTATAGTTGTTAAACTATTACTATTTGTTGCTTCGTCCACGTTTGTAGTTTTTAAACTATTTGCTGCGTTGAAAAAAGCATCCAGATCCTCGAGGCCATCAGCATTTTTCGTCACCTCCCCCGAAATTGTTATACCAGTTTTTCTGATGTTTATTAAAAGCAAACTTTCTGAATAACGAAATATACAATAAAGAACCAAGAGTTGAGTGTAATACCTTTGTTTGATAATTGACGTACCTTCCAACAACACCAATTTCGTCTAAATATTTGTTAGGTTTCCTACTTTTACGTCTTGGTGTGTCCATTTTAATGCCGTGATTTAAACCGTGGAAAAAAAGCGTATCAACTCGTATCAACAGATATGAACGACGCGAAAACTTCATTCACGTGATACATCATTTAGCTAATCAATCAAACTATACACGTGTGTAAAAGGCAGGCGGTTAGGACGAAGATAAAGTCACACAAGCCACAATTATATCTAAACTAACCCTTAATAATGGAAACGGTCGAAGCGTGTAAAGACTTGGTTCGAGTAACTACAGAACTAGCGCTAGGGTTATTAAAGCTCTAGAAACTCCTACAGGGAGATCCCCAAGATCACTAAGAATTTTACTAATAAAACAATAGTCGTTCATTAAGTCAAAAGTGACCCTAACCACGACACATTCTGGCCATTATGACCCGGAAATTTGGGGATCCCCTTGTAGAAAATAAGAATAAGCAACTAGATTACATCACAAGTAGGGTTGGCATGTCTTATATAGTCACATGACAAACTATTGACCAATCAAAATCGTTTAAAATTATTATTGAAAATCTATAACCAATCTAAAATCTTGCAGTAATTATTTAAAAGATTTTTTATATATATATTTAAATTATTTTATATAAAGTGGTTATATACAACTTACTTTAAATTTTAGAAATTTTAAACTTCAACTCAATACAGCAAAGTACAACTTATAATTGTTGTTTGGAGCAAAGTGTAGAATTTATACTTCTATATAAGTGATAACTGAAACTACATTTTTGATATTTTTTATTGAAATTATCAAAAATGTAGTTGTTTACCTCTCAACAGGGCCAACGATTTTTTGTATTTCACATAACACCACAGAATTTACATAATTACGGTTAAATTATATAATAATAGCTTTATTACCACAGAACTCTACATAATTTAAGAATTTTAAAAAATTTGCACAAAATTTGCAAATTTATCTATAGTGCTACTATGATATTTCTAAAATAAGAAAGTTAAATAAAATAATTTCGAAGTATCAGTATACATATTAATTTTTAAATACTAACCTGAAAAGTAAAATAATTTAATTCATAGTTGTGTTAAACTTCAAGTAAGTAATATTACCAAAACAAGTGTAATATATTGAGGGCTGTATAAAAAAAATATGAAAATTCTAAATCACTTTAAAAATTCATAAGAAAAAGAAGACTTTATTAAAATCGAATGCTTATAAATTCTCAATTATGACATTTTTTGTTATTTTTATATACATAATAAAGTCTAAGCTTTTATAGTTTGAATGATTCTAATAAAATTTATATGGTATTTTTTTTTTGTAAAAATATAAAAGTGAGTTTAATATATACCAAACAATTAATAACAACAATGTTTAAAAGAAAAAGTATAACAATCTCAACTCAACTTCAAGAATATCCAAATATATTGAGAGGTGTGGTGGCTTAGTGAAGTGGTCAAGTTGTTACCCTCTCCAAGTAGCAGGTCTAGGGTTCAAATCCCACGGATGACAAAAGTTTGAAAAATAGGCTTGCATTATGGTAACAGATCTTCATTAAGTTGGGGCTTAGATTAACTTGTAACTTCGGGTCACACCAATGCTCTGTATTGGAAAGTTGTCACTGTCGGGCGTCTGCGTACTACCGAGTGGATAT